TTTTTTCAGATTAATTGAGATTACCGTGATTAGAAAGGCAAGAGCATCGAAATTCAAAATTCCTTTTCTTTCTGAAAATTTTTGTACGAACGTCGTAATAGTAGCCCCTTCATAATACAAGCCCCCCTAAAAATTTTGAACACTCGGACAGTTTAGAAGCCCCGGAGGCTTCTATTATGGGGGGGGATCAGAATACAAGCGGAAATAAATTCCATCATGGTATTCTAAACTAAAACTATCAAAAAACACAAAATCAGTTTTTGTACGAATAGAGATTCGACCTAGCTTTGCAGTAAACTGTAAAACTAAATTCACTGTTCTGTGTCTATATCTGTACAACGATTGAAGTTGTACAATCGACTCGATGTTATCAGTAAAAATCAGAAGATGTTTCTAATTGAAAATACCTGAACTGTAGGCATAATTCCACAAAAATAAAGAAATAAAGATGAAATAAATGTCCCGCAAAAAAGTATTTTATCCGCACTGATTGTGCATCAGTGCCGAATAATTTTTTTTCTGTACACCCGTGCGACTTCATCTTTTCCTTCTCATAAGAGAAGTGCCGAGGCAATGCCACATCGTTTTGGCAAGTCAATGTGGTATACTGATCAGTGCCGCCGCATTCTAATACAAAATTCAGTATAAGCAGCCATAATAAAAAACTAATTAAACTGATTAAATAAATTTCTATTTATAATAAATAATTTATTTATAAATTATTAAATAAATGTAGAGAAATGTTTAATCTACTTAATTATCTAGTTGCCATTTTAGATTAGTTTGTAGCTTTATTGCAATAAGTTTTTGAAAAAGAGCAAAAAAGGGGACCGTTAGCTGGACAAGCTGATAATTTAGTACTAAAAAATAGTAAAAAAGTGTGATTTTATTGAATCTTAATTCTCAGATCTCAAATCGTTCTTAGACAATCATTCGACTTGCCTTGATATAACCTGAACGTTTTAGTCGAAGTTTTAGTACAAAATGCTTTTGTACTGATGTTTTGGTGACTAAAAATATCTTTTTGATGAAAATCATTTTTAAGATGATGTGAAATTGAGTTTCTTGAAAAGTAAATTTTAGTTTGCAGCTTCAAGTAATATTTTTTGTACAAGATATTTTTAGTGTCGATGGGGTCTAAATGTTCCAACTTGTCCGCGTCGCGTTTCGAACCAAGGACGTTGTTTCAAAAATGTCACTTTTCAGGGCACTCAAAAAAATGATTAGAATTGTGGCAGAAAACATCTTGGAGAGCCGTGAGACATCCCATTTTGTAGCGAAATCTCTGCTCTACAAGATTAAAGACTTAGAAAAGTTTTTAAGTGCTTAAAAAAACAGAAAAAATTTTGAAAGTTATAAAATAGAACTTTTTCGAAGTATTTTTGAGCAGCTTAAAAAATTCGTATCTCTACAACGAAAGTCGTGCGGAGTCGGGAGCAGTCCTTTTTTTATAGAGGGCATTTCACTCTACCATGCACCACATTCAACTCGAAAACGAATATTTTCTCTAAAAAGAGGCGGAGTACCCTTATGTTTAATGTTTAACTGAGCTTGAAATCAATTGCATCGTGTTCCCGAAGAGAAAACCGGGTAAAACATGGTGAAATTAGCATTCTAACTGTCTCAAGAAGCGCTATTTAGGAGGGAATTCTCTTGCTGCCAAATCGTGTTTGTTTTGGTGGTATTGTACTTAACAGTTTCTATTGTCTTAGATCTTAATTTATAGCTTTGAAATTTCTTTTTAAACCAAAAACGTGAAGTCTCAAAAAAAGACTTTTCTTGTACACATCTGTCATAGCTTCCGCTTGTGTTTTACTTTGAAGACAAATAATTACCATCCTTGGGCCATCCATTTCGTTCGAATATCACAAATCTCTCTAGTTTTTGCCTTCTTGATTTCAACAAATTCATCTTGCAATTTTATAAGTTTGGTGTTAAATATAGAAAGTATTTATCTGTTGATGAGGTATATTTGCATTTAAGGCATGCATTCACATTATTTTTATTTTCATTTTCGTACTACGAAAATGCTATTTATTTGTCTTGAAATTAAAATACAAGCGGAAGCAGTGACAGATGTGTATACGTCGGTATGCGACATTGCGGCACCAATAATTCAATCGATTTCAATCTCTTTTTTGTGTGTTGACTCGTGTATTCTTAAAGCTGATTCATGACTTTTCAAGACGTTGGAATACAGACCATCAATCAACTAAAAGACAGTATCAGAGTTTTTTAGTGTTACCTTCATCTTCATTGCTATTCTCCTTTGTTGGGAATTCTGCTTGTTGAATCATGATGAAACGCAAGTAATCTCTCTCTAACGAAAACCAAATTCATCCGTTTCGCTTTGACAGATGAAACTATATGCTGTCCTAAGAAATAGTCTAGGTGAAACACGTTCACCAACGGTACGTGTCAGGTTAAGAAACTATCAGGAGATATAATGGATTGAAATTGAATTGCATGTGGTGTTTAGATTATCAGACTGAAATAAACTGTTGAAGCGAAACTTTTGAATTTTTCAATTATCCTAAACCTCTGTTTTCTATTCTTTTACTTTTCCTTCATGTCGCTTTAATGAAAACATATTTATGTTTGTTGTCTTTTTCATTTTCAAATTAATTTTTTAACTTTTTTTAAAAAACTTTGAAAGTAGCTGTTCTCTGTAACGTCGAAGAATTGCCACAAATGATGGAAATTGTCTTCGAAAAACTTTAACGATTACACAATCTTATATCAAATGTGGTTTTTTCCTTTTACAGAAAAATTTTTTTTTCTCAAGAGTTTTTTGTAATCATGAAGAAACATGATATTGAATATATTTATTATAAGTATTTTTAAATTTATTTAGTAACTTACATTACTTAATCAACAAAAAAATGACGTGCTATCTGCAGATTGATGATATAAAGTAAGTGAAGAAAGAAACGGTGAATCAAATATGAAGAGGATTTTTTTCTCTTTCATTTATTAGGTATTAGAAACGTTGCTTCCCATTTTGCAAGCAAATTGCTGTTTTCACACCTCCTATACTTCCCATTTTGCAAGTAATTTTTTATTTCTGTACTTTCTTAATTTCCCGTTTTGGAAGCAAACATTTTATTAAAAATTTTCTCATTTTGCAAGCAAAGTAAAATATATATGTTAGTAATGATAAATATATAATATAACAATATGTACTACTCCATGTCTTTTCCACCAACATCATATATGAAGCGGTAGGCAGTTTTTCTTACATGTTCTAGATATTCTTTTATATCAATTGCTTCAATGGTTAAGGCTGTTCTTGCCAAACATAAGGCGAAATCGTTCTCTTCATTTTTTTTCCGGTGTTTTTTAGACGTTGATCCAGTGCTGGCTCTAATATATCACGGCAACGCGCAAAATCTTCTTTTCAAGTTTGTTTCATCCACCGATACACATTGGGATGAGTTGTTGCACGACTACAAATGCAAAAAATAAGGTATGAAACTATAGTCAACCTATAAATTTCAATATATACTTATGAATTTTGCTTCCGATGATAGCCTTGAACAGCATTATTTGTCTTTGGACGTAGATCAAAAGCATCGAACAAGTTTCAGAATCAAAGCGTGAAATATCCTTCTAATATACAACGAAGGCAGAGATAATTATTATTCCAATATAATTCTATATTTTACCTTCTACGTATGTATCACAAATATAGTCAAAAAACCTTGCACTGCAGTCGTATCACTTGGTATAAGATCATAAGTATCAGCAAATACTGACGGAATTTGATCCGGTGAAACAGGTGGTACAACAATACCTAGATTTTTCTTATAAATTTGTGTTTCATTTTTCTGCTTTGCTAGTTTTTTTCATCGATTTTTTGTGAAATGAAAATAACAACCTTTAGTCAAAGCGTTGGGAAAATGTTGATTGAAAGCTAATATGGCCGCTTCTTCAAAATCCAGCATAATTGTTTTGGGATTTAGCGTGATTCCTAGAAACAAATATATATAATCACAATACATATATAGAACAATCGCAGAACATATATAGAACACAATAAACCGTATAGAATAGTCTTACCATTCGAATTTACAAGGAACAGCAAACCATTAATCATAGTAGTATACGTTTCCCGATTTTTATTTGGCAATAAACAGTACACTGACGGCTTTATCGATAATTTATTATATGTATGGATTGTATATGCTTGATAGAATGGTCGCGGCGTTATTCTGAATGTTCCATTAACATTTCAATGTTCAGGTAATGCCAATTCTGTTAAAGCACGATCGGTCACAAAAATCAAAACTTTAATCGGCATTAGTGTCACGTAACGTAAAAATTGATTACCACCATTATCCGGTTGCCATTCCAATGAAATATCAACTTCTGATAATGTAGCCGGCAGTCTTGGAATATAACTGTTACGGAAACGATGCAACACTGATTTTACTGAATCTAATTGCATGTCTAGAAAAGAATCTGTCTTTAACAACAAAATAGGCTTAGCGGTGGAGATAAACCTACTACTGATGTTCATGATTTGCGACACAGCTTTGCACAACTCTTCTTCATATGTTTGCGTTACAGGAATGGGCTCTGTAATAAATCTTTTTTTCATTTCTTTTGTGATCAGTTGTCTGTCCGTCATTACACACTTATGGATAGATTTCAACTGAATCGTATCTCTGAACGTTAATGCCGAACCTGCACAACCAAGTCTAAGAAGTTTCGTAAACTGGAAAAAGGAGTATTAACCAATTAATCGTTAACAGCTTATCTTACACATTGCCATAAGGTGCTTCCGAACAGCCACTCCCACTTTTACATCGACTTTCAGCCGGCACTTTTTTACTATGCTAGTTTTGTAGAGCTTGTTGATTTGTATAAAAATGCATAGTCAGTTTTGGTTCAGAGTTACCAGTTTAGCTGTAAACTTGACCGAAAAACTCGATTTTTGAGAAAAATCCCCTTCCCGGAAATGCTTTGTTTTATTTTAACAAAACACATTACAGAAACTCTGAAATCGCCATTCCTGGAGCGTTAAAAGCTACGGAGATCAAATATTCATATCTGTCAGCAACAAGATACTTTTTACCACTATTATGATTCTTCATTTAGTATTGCATGGTTTCATGAATTTGTAGTATCTTCTATCGTCCTTCATCTCCCTTTTATATTATTTGATAATCAACCTGTGGTTATGATGCTTTAAATTAGATTAGATTGTGAAGCTTTTGATCAAAAACCGGATTTTATTTTACGATTAACGATGCTTTTAAGTACTCTAATAATTAGGATTAATTAATTAGACAACGTTTAAACGTTTAGACTTATAACATAAGTTCTTCCTTTTTTATTAAACAGTTTGCGGGGACATTTGAATGGGAACATTTTTGATAATTTTTTGAATTATAAAGAAAGAGTGTTGAGAATTATATTTTTCTCTACACTATGATTACATTTAGATAAATATAATTTGCTCGTTCTAAAACACAAGTACTAGACAATTTGTTTATGTGTAAGAGGTAGTCGACAAAAATGGCTACACATCCACATTCCTCATTGACAACAACTGAATTATCCGAAACGATTGATCCTTTTAAAATTCAAAAATTGAACATAAATGAAAATATATTCGTTTCACTTGATCCTTATAGGTATCGTTTTTCGAGTTTATGGGCAAAATTAGTTTATGGTTTATGGTTTAAAATTTCTATTCTTATAGGTATCATTATGCATTAGTAGAATCACAATTGAAATCAGCTCATAATCGATTGAAATCATATGATAATCCATCGGAATGTAAACGATTCATTCAGGAGCATCCAAATGAAAAAATTATTCTATCGGTTAGCGATGCTTTCAGTTCACAGATTGTTCCGTTTATACATGATCTACCGCAAATAGAAATGATTTATATCACTTTGATGACTGTTCCTCGTGCAAGTGACTACAATTGGGCTAGTAACCTTAAAAAAGTACGTATATGATCGCAGCTAAACGGAGTGTAGGTGCCAAACAACAAATCAACTAGTAGTTTTTCTAATCTTTTAAGTTGTCACAAATAGTGCGGGCTCTTCTTCTACTCTAGCACCGTATAATGTAGTCAATTTAGTAGAGCCGATGACTATACGTTAGATTGTTTAGTTTTGAGTTCTTCCCCACGGCGAATAGTACAAGAGAAAATCATAACATGTATTATTTATTCTTTTTTCTTTAACAGGTTGTTCTGTGCACAGTTGAGCCAGACGAATTACTGACAAATGAGATCGATAAACATACTGAACTCGAAAATGATAAACGAGCATTTATCATTCACTTTTATAAAAGTAATATAAACGAATAATCTACAAAAAATCTAAAACAATCAAATGCATCATTTATGTGGTCTCAAATGTTTATTGAAGCTTTATTACGTATGGAAACTACCGATGAAGATCATCATGAACTTATTAATATGTGCCGTAAAATGTATGCTGATGACAAATTTGAGCTTCAAAACATTGAAAAATTCGAGCGTGAATATAAGCGGGAAAGTGCTATTACATGGTATACAAGAGAAACTTTCGTTTATCGACAACTCAATAAAGCTTTACGTAGTGGAAAATTTGAGATGCTCTTTGCTTTTCGTTTTTTGATTAAAGATATTTATGAACAGCTGAAAATGGAATACGAGCAACAACAAGAGTGGTTAGATTCTATCCGCCTTTATCATGGACAAAGTGTATCTGCAGGGGAATTGACACAATTACAAAATACTATTGGTCACTATATTTCTTTCGATTCTTTTCTATCTGCAACAAAATCTGAACAACTGGCTCTGATTTATTCTGATGAGAACAACATTACGAACACTACGCAGTCAGTGGTATTCAATATCTTAGTTGAGCCATCTCGTCTTCAGTCATCAAAGCCGTTTGCCTCTATTTCTCACCTTAGTCATTTTGGTTCTGCCGAAGAGGAGTATCTAATTATGTTAGGCGCAATATTTTACATTGTCGACGTTAGCAGAGATAATGATGATAAAAGGTGGATTGTATATCTTCGTCTATGTAATGAAAATGAGCATGAACTGCACGAACTTTATCAGCATCTGTCAGCAGACTTACCGAAAGAAACTAATCTAGCAGATTTAGGCGATCTCTGTCAGAAAATGGGACAGGATGATACAGCTGAAATATTCTACGGACGTTGTATAACCGGAAAATTCATGAGTGCAACTGCTTTAAGTCGCTGCTTTGTTGGATTAGGAAATATAGCACGAGAAAAAGGCGATTATAATTTAGCAATCAATTATCATCAAAGAACACTTGATCTTCTATCGACAACACATGGATCAGACGACCGTTTATTTCTCATAAATAGCAATTTGGCTTTGGTTTATTGTGATAAAGGCAATTATGATTTAGCTATAGAATGCCTTGAAAAAGCTGTATCTGTTGCGGTTCAAATTTATGGAGAAAATAGTCAGCAACTGGATGGTTTGTACACTAATTTAGGTATCGCTCATTCGAAAAAAATGAACTATGAGAAGGCATTCGAATATTTTAGAAAATCATTAGAGCTTAAGCGAAATCGATTACCAGAGAATCATCCTGAACGGGCTGCTTTAGATGTGAATGTTGCTAATGTGCATAATACACTCCACGAATACGATGTCGGTCTAATTTATTATGAAAAAGCATTAAACAATTGGTCAAAGACTTTACCAAAGAATCATCCAGATCTTGCTACACTCTACTTCAATATCGGTACATTATACGAAAGTATGGAAAAGTTCGAAATTGCTTTAAAAAACTATCGAAAAGCAGCCGAGGTTTATGAAAATTTAAATTCAGCAAATCCCAAGCATATAGGTCAGAGTGCTGCTAAGGAGAAAATTAAAGATGTAACCGTATTATTGCTCTTAGAAAAGTTTATTGCAGACGAAACTAACTCATTTAATTCTAAACTTTTCTCACAACGAAACGATCAAAATTTTGAATCTTTTGCTTTACTATGGATCGATACTAATGTTAGTCAAAATCCAGATTCTAATCAAATGTTCAGACAAATCAAAAATATCATCAACTGGCTAAAGCTTTATGATAATACAGAGAAATGTGAACAATATATTTTGGAATCAAAAAAAGATGAAGAAATAGTATTAATTGTGAGCACTGATTTGGCATCTCAGCTTATTCCACGTATACATCATTTTCCGCAAATTGTAATTGTTTACATTTACGGTGTCAGTGGATCGTGTAATCAACATGGAATTACTCATTATCAAAAAGTAAGCCTTCAACAGATCTTGAAAAGTGGTCGAAAAAGTTTTTTAGTGACAGAAGCGACAATACAAAGGTTTTCTTGATATGTAAGGCTAATTTGTCTTTTTTTTAAGCCGGAAAAACATAAGACAAATTCTTTTTTTTCTGTACTTAAAGTGTGCTAACGGCATCCTTTCTTTTATATACGAAGCGATATAGAAAACTATAAGGATCCTTTACTCCGCACGACACTGACTGATTCATAACATTCATCCCAAAAAAACGTGCGATTTTCAAACAGTTTAAAAAGGATAAAATTTCATTACAGGCTCTTCGTTCCTGAACTCCTTCGTTTGCATGAATTTTAGTGCTTCTTTTGCCAACATATACAGAAGGTTTATCCGCTTGAAGAATATACTCAAAAATACAAACTTATCTTCGTTGTCATTCCGTTTTCCTGGAAAAATTTAAAGAAGGATGTCTTTGATTAATACACATTTAGTTGGTTCTATAAAAACAGCTAAAAAAAGTTTATGAAGCTAAACGTTGGATGTGACTATGGGATAGTGTGCTATGAAATTTTTCCCTTCTTCTTTTTTAATTTTTAATTAGGTTAAGGCCTTCGATTCCCTCTCAAGTCAAGTGATTGCTACGGTAGAAGAAGATCAGAAACGACGTGAGAATATAGAAGAGCCCATTTGTATCAAATTTTTACAAAGCAGCAATGGATCGTTCACGTGGTTTCTGTTGATTCTTGAAATCTTATTAAGAATGGAAAATTCAAATGAAGAGAAAGAGAAAGTGGAGTTGTTTGATATTTGTCTCCGTCTTTATTACGATAATACTCCTCAGTTAGAATTTATTAACGAATTTCAAGCTAGTTACTCTTCAGAAAGAGCCATATGGTGGTACAAAAGAAATATGTGTTTAACTCGAATGTTAAATAAAGCCTTACGAACAGAAGACTTGGAAATGTTAGTGGCTTTTCGCTTTTTCATCAAACATCTTTATCAACAGTTGAATTATGAACATCGACGACAGTCCTTTCAATCATTATTTCATGTTTATTTTGGAAAAATGATAACAAAGGAAGAAGTTGAACATTTACAGATGGCTAAAGGGCAAATAATTTCTATTAACGCATTTTTGTCGACCATCAAAAATAAATTACTCGTGCTACGATCTTTATATTCCAGCTCGAAGAATGGATCAAAAGAATCGGTTTTGTTCGATATTAAAGTAGCTACTAGTTGTGAATTAGTCAAACCATTTGCATCAATTTCGCATCTACTGTCTGATGACACTATCGAAGAAATTTTATTCATGGCGGGGACTGTATTTCATTTGATTGATATTAAGAAAGACAGTAAGACAGACATCTGGATTGTGAAACTTGGATTATGTGACGAAAATGCAAGTGAATTGAATAGTGTATATTCACATATGAAAAGTAATTTGGAAGAGGAAACTAATTTAGGTAGTTTAGGCAAATTATTAAGAGAAATGGAACAATTTGATAAAGCTACATTTTTTTACAAACGCTTCCTTACAACTCTAAATTCGTATAAAGTTGGTTTTATTACGGATTGTATTAATGGATTAGGAAATATAGCACTTGCAAGATCTGATCATGAAATGGCTCTTCATTATCATAAAAAATCAATTGAAATTGAATCTGCAAAATCGATACAATCTCAGATAGCTTTTGCAGCTTCCTTTGGAAATTTAGCTATTGCATACAGAATGAAAGATGATTATGATTTGGCTATTAGTTGGTCTGAAAAGGCGTTGTTAATTTATAGAAAGAATGAGAGTGAAAATCGAAGACAAATCGGAGACATATACTTAAATCTTGGCAATACGTATAAAGCAAAAATGAACTATAGTGAAGCAATAAACTACTATAAAAAGTCGTTGGCTATCTTTGAATGTATCTTACCAGAATATCATCCGAATTTAGCTAATCTATATTCAAATCTTGGATCTGTATACTTTATTTTGAACGACTATACTCAGACTATAGTTCATTATGCAATAGCTCTTAATATTTATAAAAACAATTTTTCACCTTATTCTCCACAAATCGCTTCGATTTATCAGGATATCGGTACGACGTATGAAAAGATGGAAAATACTAATTTAGTCCAAAAATATTGTAATACTGAAGAGCAAAAGAAAATATTCTTAGCTAAAGAGATTTACAAATATGTTTATTCATTAGATTAAGCTCCTATTTTTAGGAACTTTATATCTTTTAAAAAGACCGAAAGTTGTATCTTTCTTGCAAGTTTAATACTTTATTTCACTCAATTCCTACAGTGATTGAAAACCCCACAATTAAAACCGAAGAATCCGTAATCTATGACGATCTATCATCACAGCGTAATAAAATAAGTATAAGGTAGGGAAAATATTAATAATGATATTTAATATAAACTAGGAACATTTGTGAAGATTCAACTTTACTGCAAATGCAGATTTGTCGTCTACTGCCAAAATATGAATGTATTCAAACAAAAGAGCAAAAACAAACTCAGCTGAAACAATAAACATGTTAGATTTGAGAAATGTTGAAGTAACTTAACTAATTTGGCAGCGACGTTGTAAAAGTTAATAATAGTTAATAAAAGTTTTATATTTTCATGTATCAGATTTTTTGAAAAGAGTTACAAGAATATAAATTGTTTTACGAATATGAATGAGTTTTACACTAGAGATGTGCACGGGTACCATTTTCGTACCCGTACCCTACCCGAAAATTTTTTTTCCACCCGTACCCGACCCGACCCGAGAACTGTGTACCCGTACCCGACCCGTACCCGACCCGTAATCGACTTATACGTAAAAGATTTCTCCTTTT